CCTCTGGATATTTTTTTTTTCCTGTAGTTAAACAATCCCTACTTACAGCATGGACATGGTAACAGGTAATAGCAGGACAAGCTTATCAGTGAAGCAAAGCTAGTAAAGGCTAGCTTGTGGTGTTTGTGTAGTATTTAAACAGGAATTAAATATGTTGAAATAGGTGTTCCTAGGAGGTTTGCTTACGGGCTAGGTGAAGTGAAACTGTAGGCCTGGAGCTCTTCGCAGAACTTTAAATGCACTGTGCCAATTAAGCTTATAGTAAACTTCGGCTAATTAACTTAGGAAAATTGGGAGCTGGATTTAGCCTAGCAAATGGGACCAGGCGTCCGTGAGAGACTTGCATTGGAGCAGCCTGTGTTGCTACAGCTTTGCTGCTGTTGTAGGTATTGAAATTGGCTAGACCCGGTCTGCTCCTTCTGGTGCTTTTATGTGGGTGTACTACCGAGCTGACTGAAAAACATTTACGTTTTCTTGCCTCTTGTGCCATGATCCTACCTGCAGATGTAAGAATGACGGGACAGATGTCATGCACCCATTGGGAAGCGTACCTTTGAGTGTGAGGTACAATCCTTCAGTGCTAAATCAGGAGATTAGGTATTACAGAACTTTCACTCTGTATTTAACTGTTTCTGAATCTTGTGACAGTAAATTATATCACTAGCATGTCTTTTGGAGGTTCTATCTATTGCATTTGCAGAGACCTATACTGTAAGCATATTTCTTGATAATCCTGGATCAAAAAGTATTACAGGCACTTCTGGCTGCCTATTGGGTGGAACAGAAACACTTTAGGAGCAAACAAGCTAATGTACCAGTTTGTGTTTAGTCTGTTTTCACTAAGGTACAAAGCACAATGCTACACTAAATCTTTGCTGCAAGGTGTCATGGTTTCAATGAGAGGTAATTACTGTATGGCTTTCTTCTGCCAAACAGATGAAGAGGAAACTAAAGGATGCAAAGAAACTCTGTGGGTGTGCTGAAGAATAGCTAGCTTTGAATACTGACTGCAGAATTAAGGCTTTGGGTGGGCTTAGTTTGTTACCTCTCAAAAGGCAGTTGGAATCAAAGTCCAGGAAAAAAGACTTCAGTTGCTCAATAGAAGAGCAGCCATAAGACATGGAGCAATAAGACTCTTCTAAATTACTAGAAGGATAAGGAGAAATATGATTTACTGTTGTCTTGCCTATGTGAAACTTAATGTAAATACACATACATGCAAGATAATACATACAGCGTTTAGCTTCGGACTAGTGACCCACATATGAAGTAGGTTTTGCATCAGTTTGAGCTAAAACCAGTATTTTTGAAGCACCAACATGGTGCTTCAGCATATTGTTTTGGAAAGCAAGCTGTTGGTCTGGGCTTGATTTGAGGTGTGGTAATTTAAAAACTGCTTTTCCTGTAAAAATGGGGATAGTGATGCCATATTACAAAGGTGGCATGAGGCCATGGGGTGGGTTACACAGGTGCTAAACAGTTCAAGATTGAAGATAGGGCTTGATGCTCTAACCCTCAGGAGCAATAGTGAAGATGAACGGCTCAGGCATTTTGGTCTCATTATCTTCTGGTACATAAAATCTTCAGCATCTAAGGGTAAGTTGCAAAGTGTAAAAAGGGGGAAAAGAAGAAAGATTAACCATTCATTAACACAGTTGTATAATCCTTCCCTCCCTTTCCTTGGGAATGCTTGAATTCCACTCCCACACTGTATCCTCAAAATACTCTCATTGTTTTAATTTAGTTCTGGACTGGTACTAACAATAGTGCAAACATTGCTCCATAGGCACAGATGGAGTTTCCATATGTTGAGAGAAACATTAGAAGCATTAACATAGGAGATATCCTGCACCCCGCCCCCTCAGTACAGACAGCTTACAGGAAGAAAATAGGTAATATTCAAGGCAAATGTATGTAGTGCATACTACATAAGCGTGAAAATTATAAAACTTTCCTGAATCACAGTGTGCAGTAGGAGAATTTGCAGCAAGAATAATTTGCAGCAGCATGAATAATTTGCAGCAAGACTTCCTATTCTGCAGGACCTGATCATGCAGTACCTGATAACTTCTTGGATATGGGTGAAATCCTCAGGTCCCTTATATAGGCCCTTGAGTCTCTGCCATAGCATTTAATATTCATCTTCTGATGAGCTTCAACGTGGGCAGGATTTACTGCACACTGACCAGTGAGGATGAAACATGCTCCCTTTGGAACTGCTTATGAAGTAAAAGGGTAGCTGGTGTAAGGGAAGGAACAGCCATTGTGCTGGGCAGGTCAGCCCGTCTCCGGTTAAACTTTCATGAATAGATCAAAAAGTTGAGAGGTTAAAGACTGAATCTTGCATTGTTTATTGAACACTTACTTTCACAGCTCTTGAACGTATTTGTAGCACATGCCCCACCTAACAGCTGAAGGAAGCTGTTCTTTCTGCTGCAGAATACTTCCCTTTCCTGTGTGACTTTTCCTCTCCCAATTCTGTTTCCACAGCAATCAGGACTTTATGAATACAAAATCTTTGGTGGTCTTGCTGACTGTCCACCAGAACTGTGTGCAGATGTCTATATGGATTTAGATTTTAGAAAACAATGGGATCAGTACGTTAAAGGTAAGCTGACCTAGACAGCTTAAAAGCAAGCTTAATGTCCACGTTGACTCTCCCCACTAACGCTTTTCTTCAAAGATATTTTAAAGCTGCTTCGTCCAAAGGACTTTGGGCCAGACCTGAGCGTTCTTTAGGGTAATGTTGCACTCTGCAAATATACAAGTTAACAGTGCCATGGAACAGCTAACATCTGTCCAGTGCGTAACTTTCTTTTGGAAAAAGTTCTTTACCTATTGGTTAAAGTATCCAATTGGCCTCACTTGTTACTGAAGCTCATCTTGCAGCCTCTAGTATAGTCATTCTTGTGATTCCTAAGTTAAAATTTATTAGATGTTCTGGGCAGAAATGGAGATACCACCTTTTGTATATCTTTGCATATTGCAGCAGAGGTTTAAAAACTGAAACGGCTTGCACCAGTTTCATGTAGGATGGAATATCTTTTCCTCAGTGTGTTCAGAGGAGTTGGTTGTTCTTGGCACCTTTCAAAACTAGACATGCGTGAATCCAGGGAATCGTTACTGACTTAGGGCTCTTACAGAGAACTGAATAACTAATTCAGTTTGTTTGTTCAATATTGCCTTTAAAACAGGGAGCTGAATCTGGATATCCATGTGATGTTAAAACATTTTGAATGTTAAATCACCAGTGGCAAGACAAGGATTCATCTGATACAAATCTCTGTAGAGATCCATTCATTTTAAAGATGGAAGAGACCTCCCACTTAAAAGCAGTTCCGGCCAATAAAACTGAGACACATGTCCAAGCGTCTTGCTGAACAAAGAACAGCATTACAAAATTAAAGACCTGTTAAATGTTATGCTTGTTAAGTCTAGGGCAGCTCTATTGTAAATGATTCTATTAGCAATGCCTTTGGCTGTAGTGGTACAGAAAACCACCTCTTTGGCTCATATCACCACTTGGTTAACCTTCAGAAGCTGTGACCTCATTAGCAAAAGGTGTTGTTTGTCATAATAGGCAATAGCTATTTTGGAGAAAAGGCTTCTCTTCTGTACATGAAACAAAAGGAGCTGGACTCCAAAGAAATATTATTATAGTGTATGTCAAAAATGCCATGTTAGCTTAGGTGACTGTGGTAGCCTTAGATTTTGATTTAAATGCACTTAAGAGAACTGACTCCTTCACTTCTTAAACAAACACTTTCTATTTTTTTTGTAGTGCCTTTTTAGAGAAAAGAAAGGAAATAGTTGGGGGAAGCTACACCCTTAAACTAAAAGTTAGATAATGTTGCAGAGCTGGCCTTTATATCCTTCATATGACCATGATGTATTCATGTGTAAATTAAATACCTTGTGCTGGTATGTAAAGTTAGTGTTTCATGGAAGTTAACTCTTTAAATACATAAACATAAGGTTTTCTTTTTAGCTTAAAAATTTAGCGTAAAACGCTCATTCTGTAGAACTGTATAGATGATGAAACAGGCAACCTTTTCTATGAAAACTATATCATGCTTATTTCTTCCTTTCTTCACTCAGAATTCTTAGGGGAAAAAAAAACAGAAATAATTTCCATTCAGAAAATTCATGCTCTTTGCTTTTTTGTTCATATTTCTTTTTATAGCTTATACAATAATGGCAGTCCAAAAAGGAGTTCTCTGCTGACCTGCTTGCTGGCATCGAACTGAAAACATGATCAGAGTAGCAGCAGCTGCCTTTTTAATTAGAAAGATAACTGCTACTGCACTAAACGTAAGAGGAGCTAATCTCTGCCTTCCAGTTCTGTTCAGCAAAGCTCTTTATGAAAGCCTAACTAGAGGCGGGAATGGACACACTTTTTGTGATTGGCCTTTCTTTAGGGGCTGGTGCTTTGATCTGTTCTTGGCAAGGGTTTGACTGAGGCCCCCAGAAATTTCAACATCAGTCTGCTCCTGCTGCATTGCTGTTAGTACCCTGGCTAATTTCAAAGCAGGCTCATGGACATCTTCAAGAGCAGTACCTCTCAACTGTAATTTGGACATCCTGAGGCCTGGGGGTCTG